TTGACCCCAGGTACCATTACAAGCAAAAAAAAATGGCTTGATGACATCAATATAAAGGTGAGTCAGGCTAAACAATACCTATAGAAAAAAAGAGGTACCTGATATTTGTCTCTACATTCAAATTTGGCCTATGCCCAAGACCTTCAGAATCAGACAACCTCAGGTATCATTTTAGCTTTGCTTCCTATACCAGTTAAGTGAACTTTGATAAGTCATAAGTCATTTATTCTCTGTGAGTCTCAAGATTTTTATACTTGAAATATGTTTGATATTTTTGTTGCCAGAATTGTTAATTAATGTTAAAGAGTATTCTTAAACCTATAAAGAGTGAGAACATAATATCAGTCCCTCTAAACTTTTATAAAATTTTCCCACAGTATTTATATTCTTTCTCAGTCTGGTTATTATTTTTTTTAAAAGAAAGGAATATTGATAGGAAAAATAATACCTGCTTAAACAAAATATCCAAATAATTTCCAATGTGAAACGATGTCCATCTGGCAGGAGGTTTCTTATGAAGTGACTCTCATTCTCTACTCATTCTTACCCTATTCAATTTGTATATTGACTTACATTAGAAACTAGATGACATATTTAATAAAAGTGTGGTCAGCAAAAAAAGGTAATAGAAGCAGTAACTTTTATTTAAAGGATTTGGATTTCAGAAGAGATACTATTAGCTTAAGAGGATGGCCTAATTATCAAAAGACGGAAAATAAACTGTAATATTAGATATTATAAATTTATTTCTGTATCTGTGTTGCATATACCTAACCAGTGTTTATAGATAAATTACATTTATTTGTCCTTTAAATTTGTGATGGATTTTTTATGTGCTTTCTTTGTATTATTCTATTTTATCATTGTAACAACTATATTATGCAATACCATTATCCACCTGTTGTCAATGAGGAAATTCATATCATGAGTTAAAAGAAAACAAATTTGCACAAGGACATATAGCGATTTCAGAGCACAGTTTAAACCAAAACAGTCTGGAGCCTAAGTCACACATTTGAAAATATTAGGGGATGATATGTGCAGGAAAGGTAGTGTAAGAAGTTCTGAAAATTTCTACATAAAAGCAATGAGAACACTGGCAAAATTTGTCAAAAAAAAATCAACATTTTCAGAAGTCTAGAAATTAAAGTATTTCAGCATTCTGGGGTACATTTAAAAAAATCAGAATCTCAGTAAGAACAGCAGGCATTTTGACTTTGAAACTTATTCATCCCCCCTTCCCCCATGCACCTGTTATAGATTGAATTGTATACCCTCAAATGATATTTGAAGTCCTAACCTCCAGTTCTCTTAATGTGACCTTATTTGGAAATAGAATCATTGAAGATGTAATTAGTTAAGATGAGGTCATATTATAGTAGGGCAAGCCTTTAATCTAATATGACTGGCATCCTCATAAAAGAAGACACAGACACAGAGGCAAGGGGAGAATGCCATGTAATGACAAAGGCAAAGACTGAAGTGTTACAGCTGAAAGCCGAGGAATAGCAAGGATTAAAAAGCAGTAGAAGCTTGGAAGAGGCGAGGAAGGAATTCCCTTACAGGTTTCAGCCAATGTCTTGATTTCAAACTTGTAGCCACCAGAATTGTGTCATAATAAATGTCTGTTGTTTTACCCACTCATTTTGAGATCCTTTGTTATGGCAGACCTAGGAAATTAATACAGCATCTGACAAAATAGCCCTAAAATACATGAAGCAAAAACTCACATGACTTCCAGTTTCTTCAGCATCTAAGGGGCTTAGAAGTCACCACTCTGTCCTAACAAGTAAAAAGCTGAACAGACTAAAAATCAACAACTCTTCTTGGATCCTTAAGAGAGAGGAGAATACAGGATAAACTGCTGCCCAAAGATTGAAGAGACTGACAAGCAAATACTAAAAACAACAGCAACAACAACAACAACAACAACAAAAAGCCAACTTACCAGAGCAGAGACTCAAAAACCGCAATGGGAACCAGTGCTGGAGTAGGAAATCCTGAACTGTAACTGATGAATTGCTGGAAGCTCAATGTGGACAACAGTGAGAGTTAAAAATACCAGAATGATTGACTAATAGGAGGACCTCCATATTACTGTGAGATTTGCCTCAGGAAGTCAGCCAGGTTCCCACAATGAATACTGGAGAAAGATCCCCTCAGGCTTCTGATAAGGAGAGGACAGAGAAACCATTTTGAAATATACTAGAGAGCACTCTGTTCCTCTTAATAAAACCTGACCTAAGAGGAAACTAGTTAACTAGAATTTAAACAGCTGGGCATTATTAGAACCTAACTGACGTGGGGAAGGGAATTACCCTACTCCAGGTGATTCTCCTTCCATGTGGGAGAAAAGAAATACATGACTGTAGCCCACTCTAGCCACCTGTCTCATTAAGCAGGGAGAAGAAAACCAGAAATTCCTGTGAAGTTCACAGTGCAGAGGCCTAGGCTGAGACCTAGTTACAATAAAGAATGCTTCCCATCCCTCCACATCTCACCATCATATTCTAAAAGCCTATTTACAGTTATTCCTATTGCCCAGTACATTATGTCTTGCTATCAAGAAGAAGTACAAGGCATACCAAAAGGCAAAAACACAGTTTGGGGAGAAAGAGCAAGCATCAGTACCAGACATGGAGGGATGTTGGAATTATCAGACCAGGAATTTAAAACAATTATGGTTAATATGCTAAAATAGAGAGCAGACAGGGACAGATGGGTAATGTAAGTAGAGAGATAGAAATACTGAGAAAGAACCAAAGGAAAAATAAAAGACTAGTGATAAAAAGCACAGTAACAAAAATGAAGAATGCCTTTGATGGGCTTGTTAGTAGACTGAATACAGCTGAGGAAAGAATCTCAGCACTAGAAGATACATCAATAGAATCCTTGAAAACTGAAAAGCAAAGAGAACAAAGACTGAAAAACATAGAACAGAATATCCAAGAACTGTGGGACAACTACAAAAAGGTGTTACATACACATAATGAGAATACCAGAAGGGGAAGAAAGTGTGAAAGGGACAGAAGAAATATTTGAAATGATAATGGCTGAGAATTTCCCCCCAAATTAATGTCAGACACCACATCACAGCTTCAAGAAGCTCACTTGCCAAAGGATAAAATGCAAAAAACAAAACAAAACAAAACAAAAAACCCTATACTTAGGCATATCATTTTCAAACTACAGAAAATCAAGGATAAAGAAAAAAATCCTGAAAGAAGCCAGAAGATAAAAAATAATCTTACCTGTAGAGGAATAAAGATAAAAAATTACATCCAACTTCTCAGAAACCATGCAAGCAAGAGGAGAGGTGAAATGTTTAAAGTGTTGTGAGGGGAAAACCCACTAACCCAGAATTCTGTGTCCTGTGGAATTATCCTTCAAAAGTGAAGGAGACAGTGGCGAGTGAGTGAAATGAATGAAAGGGTTCAAAAGATACAAACTTCCAGTTATAAAGTAAATAAATCTTGGGGATATAATGTACAACATGGTGACTATAGTTAATAATACAGTATTATATATTTAAAGGTGACTAAGAGAGTAAATCTTAAATTTTCCCATCACAAGGAAAAGAAATTATAACTGTGTGTGGTGATAGATGGTGATTATTTTGCAATATATACAAACATCGAGTCATCGTGTTGTACACTTAAAACTCATGTAATGTCATATGACAATTATATCTCAATTAAAAAAAGTGAAGAAGAGATAAAGGATTTCTGAGACAACCACAAATTGAGGGAATTTGTTGCCAGTTGATCTGCCTTGCAAGAAATGTTGAAAAAAGTTCTTCAGAGAAAAAGAAAATAATATAGGTCATGAACTTGGATCTACATAAGGAAGTAAGAACATGGAAGAAAGAATACATGTAGGCAAAACTAAAATACATATTCTTATTCTAAAATGATCTAACAGTTAACAGTTTGTTCAAAATAATAAGAATGTATTCAATTATGCATACTTATGCATATATCATGTATACATTATATATATGTTTACATATGCTTGTACATAAGTGAAATGAATGACAACAATGACACAAGGGATGGGAGGAAGGAATTAGGATTACCTTATTATTATAAGGTACTCACACCACCCACAAAGTGATATAGTGTTATTTGAAAGTGGATTCAGATTTGTTGTAAATGATATTACAAATTCTAGGGTGATGACTTAAAAAAAAAGTATAAATGATATACTAAGAAAAGAGAAAATGAAGTCATATAAAATATTTAAACTACAGAAAGAAAAAAGAGTAGAAAAATAGGAACACAGAATAAGGGCAACAAATAGAAAATAGTAATGAATGTGGTAGATATTGATCCAAATACGTTAATAATCACTTTTTGAGTATTGATGGTCTAAATGCCCTATCAAAAGACAGAGATTGTCAGAATGGATGAAAAGCATGACTCAACTATATATTGTCTCCAAGAAATCCACTTAAATATAAAGACACAAATAGATTAAAAGTAAATGGACAGAGAAAAATATACCATGCTAATACTAATCAAAAGAAAACAGGAGTAATTATATTAATTTCAGGTAAAGGAGACTTCAAGATAAGGAAAATTAGGAGGGATAAATAAAGGCATTGCAAATGGATAAAACAGTCAATCCTCTAATAAGACACAACAATTCTTAATGCATGTATCACTAACAACAGAATGTCAAATTATGTGAAGCAAAGACTGATAGAACTGCAAAGAGAAATAAATGAGATTCCACTATCATATTTGGAGATGTCAACACCCTTCTCTCAGAAATGGACAGATCTAAAAGGCAAAAAATCACTAAGGACATATCTAAACTCAACAACACCATTAATAAACTAGATGTAATGGACATCCATTGACTACTCCATCTAACAACAACAAAATAGACATTTATGTCAAGCTCACATGAAACATTCACCAAGACAGACTATATTCTTTTTTTTTTTTTGGGGGGGGGAAGGTAGCTCAGCTTTATTCATGAAAATCACTGATAAAACAATAAAAAGCCAGAACGAAAACAACATTTTTAGTTACAATATTAGCTGAACTTTTTTACATATCTTCCGTTTAAAAAAGCGAAATGTCTGAAATCAGCATTTGGTAGGTCCTTAATCCACTTTTAAGTCTTTCCCCACCAGCATGGCCGTCACTGGGTGCATACTTGCTTTGTGCCCCTGGTAGGTTCTCACGGCTTCATGATGGGATTTGTCAAAGGCAGCAAGGTCCTTGAATAGGGGCCGTGTAAACTTCATTCTCCTTGCTCAGTCGCCATTTTTAGAGCCAAAGGAATTGCTTCCTCCCATTTCGATTGAATGCAGAGCCGTAACCATCTGAATCGTATTTCAGAATTGTTAATGGCATTCAAGTTGTACACCTCTTGCATTCGCTTTATGTGCCCCAATGGAAGAGGTGCTCTCTGGAGCATCTGTGCTAAAAATTCGTTCAACTGATGAGAAGAGAGATCCTTCAGGTCTGCTGAGGTAAATGAATTTAAATCATCTTCTTTGGCAGTCATCCACCGTTGACTTAAGGCAATGCAAGCATTTGTCAGCGTCATATCATAATTGGGTTTTACAGGAGGCATTCCAGGAGAGTAGAGCCAGGTGGTCCAGTCAACTTGATTGAGAAGATCAACCTTATCTTTAAAGTGGGAATACAGGAAATCCTTCCAGTCATCAGTGGTTATGCTCTTGTAGGAAAACTTCTCAACATAAGCCTTTAGGAATCCTAGGAAAACCTCGGGGCCCCCAAGAAGTTGTTCAAGGTAAAAGAGTAAAGCAAAGCCCTTCTCGTAGGGCACTGAAGAATATGCTACATCGGGGTCCACATTCGTCAGATCGACCACAAGTTTGGTGTAAGGATGCGTATCTCCAAAAGTCTTTATCAAATTCTGTAGTTCTCCCCATCCTCCCAGCGTGTGAAAATGTCTGAACTTTTCACCAAACAGTCGTCCACAAATGTGGCGTTCCAAGTATACAGTATGTCCTTCGTTTAACCAAAAGTGGTCCCAAGTTTTGTTGGTCACTAGATTTCCTGTCCAACTATGAGATATTTCATGTGCAATAACAAGACAGACTATATTCTGAGCCATAAAACACACCTTAACAAATTTAAAATAATAGAAATCATGCAATGTCTGCTCCCAGACCACAGTGGAATTAAACTAGAAATCAATAACAGAAAGATAACTGGGAAATCCCAGAATACTTGGAAATAAAGCAAAGCACCTCTAAATAACACATGGGCCAAAAGAGAAATCTGAAGATAAATTAAAATCTATTTTGAACTAAATGAAAATGACAAACAACTTACAAGAATCTGTGGGATACAGCAAAAGTAGTATGCAGACAAAAATTTATAACATTGAATGCATATATTTAAAAAACGTAGAAAGACCTAAAATTAATCATGTCAGTTTCCATCTTACAAAACTAAAAAAAAAAAAAAAGAAGAGCAAATTAAATCCAAAATAGCAGAAGAAAAGAAATAATAAGAATTAGAGCAAAAATCAATGAAATTAAAAACAGAACATTGATAGAGAAAAATCAATGAAACCAAAAGCTATTTCTTTTAAAAAGATCAATAAAATCAATGAACCTCTAGCCAGGTTAACTAAGTAAAAAAGAGAGAGAATACAAGCTACTAATATCAGAAATAAAAGAGGTGACATCACTACAGATTCCATAGAAACTAAAAGGATAAAAAAAGACTAGTATGAAAAATTCTATGCCCCCAAATTTAATTACCTAGATGGAATGGAACAATTCCTTGAAAGACAATCTATCAAAACTCACACAAGAAATAAATAATATGACTAGGTCTATATCTATGAACGGAATTGAACTAATAATTAACAACTTTTCTAAACAGAAAGCACCAGACCCAGATGTGTTCATTGGTAAATTTTACCAACCATTTAAGGAAGAAATTGTATCAATTGTCTACAATCTCTTTCAGAGTATAGAAGTGGAGAGAATACTTAACTCATTTTGTGAGGTCAGCATTACTCTAATGCAAATACGAGACATCACAAGAGGAGGGATTATAAGAAAAGAAGTCTGCAGACCAATATCTTTCAGGAACATAGTTTAAAAAATCCTCAGCAAAATATTAGCAAATTGAATCCAAAAAAATATATAAAAAGAATTATGCACCATGACCAAGTGGGACATATCCCAGACATGCAAGGCTATTCAACATTCAAAAATCAATGTAGGGGCACCTGGGTGGCTCAGTTGGTTAAGCGACTGCCTTCGGCTCAGGTCATGATCCTGGAGTCCCAGGATCAAGTCCTGCATCGGGCTCCCTACTCAGCAGGGAGTCTGCTTATCCCTCCGGCCCTCCCCCGCCATGTTCTCTCTTTCTCTCTCAAATAAATAAATAAATAATCTTTCAAAAAAAATCAATGTAATCCATCTCATCAACAAACTAAAAAAGAAAAATCACATAATCACATTAATAGATGCAGAACGAGCATTTGACAGAACCAACATGCATTCATGGTAAAAACTTAGTAAACCAGGAATAGAGAAAAACTCTTTTAATTTTACAAAGATATTTACAAAACACCTACAAGTAACACTGTTCTTTTTGATGAGAAACTTGAAACTCCCCCATTAAGATCAGGTACAAGGCAAGGATGTTCAGTCTCACCACTCATTTTTAACATCAAATTAAAAGTCTAGTAAGGAAAGAAAAGTAAAGGAAAGTTAGGCAGTTTGGGAAGGATGATGTAAAACTGTCTTTGTTCTCAGATGACATAATCTTTTATGTAGAAAATTCAAAAGAATTGACAAAAAAAATCTTCCTGAAATTAATAAGCAGTTAGAGGAAGTTGCAGGATATAAGATTGTTATAGATATAGAAAAGTCAATTGCTTTTCAGTATACTAACAATGAACCAGTGGAATTTGAAACTAAAAATTCAATGCCATTTACATTAACACATCCCCCAATGAAATACTGATATAAAAATCTAACAAAATATGTACAAGATTTATTTGAGGAAAACTACAGAACTCTGATGAACAAAATCAAAGAACCAAATAAATGGTTCCATGTTCATGTGGAAGATTCAACATTGTCAAGATGTAAGTTCTTTTGACCTTGATCTACACATTTTAACATAATCTCAATTAAAATACCAGCCAATCATTTTATGGACATCAATAAACTGATTCTAAAGTTTATATGGAGAGTTTATATAAAGTTCATTCAAGAATGCAAAAGATATACCAGAGTAGTCAATGCAATATTGTTGGAGAAGAACAAAGTCAGAGGACTGATGCTACCCAACTTCAAGATTTACTATAAAGCTAAAATAATCAAGACAGTATGATATTGGTGAAAGAGTAGACAAATGGTTCAATGAAAAAGAATAAGCAGCTTAGAAATAGACTCCCATAAATACAGTAAACTAATCTGTGATGAAGTGGCAAATGTAATACAATAAAGCAAAAATAGTATCTTCAATAAATGATGCTGGAACAACTAGACATTTATATGCCAAAAAAAAAAAAAAGAATCTAGATACAGACCTTACATATCTCATAAAAATTAACTCAAAATAAATTATAGACCTAGATGTAAAATGCAAAACTATGAAACTCCTACAAGACAACATAACAGAGAACCTAGATGACCTTGAGGATGATGATGTCTTTTTACATACAACAACAAACACACAATCCATGAAAGAAATAGCTGATTAATGTTAATTGAAGCTGGACTTCATTTAAAAGCATCTGCTCCACAAAGACAATATCAAAAGAATTAGAAGACAAGTCCCAGACTAGGAGAAAATATTTACAAAGATGCATCTGATTAAAGACTATTATCCAAAATATACAAAGAACTTTTAAAGATCAACAATAAGAAAACAAACAACCTGATTAAAAAATGGGCCAAAGACCTTAAAAAACAGCTCAGCAAAGAAGATACACAGATGCAAATAAACATATGGAAAGATGCCCTACATCATATGTCATCAGGGAAATGCAAATTAAAACAACAATAAGATATCACTACATGTCTACTAGAATGGCCAAAATCCAGAATGCTGAAAACACCAAATTCTGCAGAGGATGTGGAGGATTAGGAGCTCTTTCATTGGTAGTGGAAGTGCAAAATGATACAGATACATTGGAAGACAATTTATCAGTTTTTTACAAAATTAAATATACTATTAACATACAATCCAGCAATTGTACTCTTTAGTATATATGCAAAGGAGTTGAAAATGTGTGTCCACACAAAAACATATGTGAGAATGTTTATCACAGTTTTAGTCATACTTGCCAAAACTTGGAAGCAACCAAGATGTGCTTCAGTAAGTGAATGGATAAATAAACTGTAGTATATACAGACAATGAAATATTATTCAGAACTAAAAAGAAATGTACTATCAAGCCATGAAGATATGAGCAAAACTGAAACAATACATGGAGGAAACTTAAATATTACTAAGTGAAAGAAGTTGATCTGAGAAGGCTACGTACTGTATGATTCCAACTACACATCATTCTGAGAAAAGTAAAACTATGGAGTCAATTAAATAGTAAGTGCCAGAGGTAAGGAGGGGTTTAGATGAATGGGCAGAACACAGAGGATTTTTAGGGCAGTGCAAATACTCTGTATTTATAACAATGAATATGTGTTATTATACATTTGTTCAAAGCCATAGAACATATAACACCAAGAGTGAACTGAAATGTAAACTATGGACTTTGGGTTAATATTATGTGTCAATGTAGGTTCAACCTTGGTAAAAATGTACCACTTCAGCAAGTGATATTGTTAATGGGGAAGTTATACATGTGTGTGAGTAGGAGATGTATGGGAAATCTAGGCACCCCCCCTCTAAAGTTTGTTGTAAACCTAAAATTGCTCCCCCAAAATAAAGTCTTAACATTTTATTGAATTTGAAGAGCAAATTAGAAGATTCAATAATAGCACTTGGAGACCTTAATATCCCACTTTCAATTAAGGGGAAAACAACAATAAAAAAAATCAGTAAGAAATGAGTAGACCTGAAAAACCCTATAAGACAAGCAGACATAATAAACTTCTACAGAACTCTAACTTATAGCTGCAACCTACATACTCTTCTCTAGTATACCTGTAATATTTACCAAGATAGACCATATTTTAGGCCATTTAAAAAGTGTCAACCAATCTGAAAGGAATTTATATCATAAAATATATCCACTCTGATCACAATGGAATAAAATTACAAATCAGTACAGAAGGACAATTTGAAAATTGGTAAATATGTGAAATAAACAACCTAGTCCTAAAAAAAATTAGGTTGAAGAAAGAAATTGCAAGGAAATTTTAAAAAATATTGAGATGAATGAAAATGAAAACACACCTACTAAATTTTAAATGCAGTCAAGGAAGCACATAGAGGCCAGTTTATAACTATAAATGCCTATTTTTTTTCTACATTTTTTCTTTTTTCTTTTTAATTGTAGTAAAATGTACATAGCAAAACTTCTCATCTTAGCCATTTTAAAGTTTACTGTTCAGTAGTAAGTGTATTTACATTGTTGTGCTTAACTTATATTTAAAGACTATATCAGAAATGAATTATTAATACATCCTGAAAATCATAACTAAACAGATCCTAAGCAAATTTACAAAATAGGTAAAAGGTATGTTTATATTCCAAATTCCTCTCAATATCCTAATTCCAAATTCTGGAAACCCTGTTTAACTCTCAGCAGATAGCGGATACTGGTCACAGAGTGTTATCAGAGAAAAAACAGTACACAATGTACTCAATCATTGAAATCCAACATGACTGGCACTGCACCTGAAACTGTTGGGGTAATAATAATCTATGTATAAATATTTCTATCAGAATGGTTAACTGATATGACTACACAGTTATTCAGTGAATAAAAGTAAAAATTTGGCCTAATTTATTCTAAATCTAAATTCCTGATACTTTTATTATCTATATTAGCTTTTAATTAGGAAGCATGCATCACTAAAAATATGATTTTTGAGACACATGAACATATGTCATATTTTTCTGTGGAAGATATGAACTATTAAAGACACATATAACTAAGTCTCTGTAATTCTCTTT